GGAAGCCTGCTTCTCCCTCTCCCACTCCCCCTGCTTGTGTTCCCTCTCTCGCTGTCTCTCTCTCTGTCAAATAAATAAAACCTTTAAAAAAAAATAAAATAAAATCTGAAAAACGCAGGCCACCAGGATGCATCTGGCCCTGGAAGGTTTCTGTCAGGGGCACCGGCAGCCGACATCGGCCCAGCGAATGAAACAACAGAGGAGTGCACATTAGTGAGCACCCCATCTGGCAGAGAGCAGTGCTCCAAAGCCCCCTGGTTCTGACACAGCGGGGGTGGGGGGTGTGCGGGGGCGGGGAGGCTGGAGTCCCCGGACCTCACCTGAGGCAGGATGTGCTGCGTATGATGCACCCAGTTGGCCATCGAGTCCACCAGCTCGAGCACCGGGATGCCCTCAAAATCGGGGTTCTCCTCGTAGGAGTCGCGCCCCGCACCGCCCTCCTCCTCCTCATCGCCCTCCTCTTCGCCGAACTGGTAGAAGCCAAGCGGGCTGATGTGCGTGGCGGCCGAGATGCGGGCGATCTGGGCCCGCAGGTAATTGGCTTCGTTGCCCGGGAAGGGCGGGAAGCTGATGACCGGCGCGTCCAGGTACCCTGTAAAGAACTTCTTGATCTTGCGGGCCTGCACGATCTGGATGGGCGTGACGTGCGGCAGCCGTGTCCATGGCCGGCCCGGCTCGTTGCACACGAAATACAGGTACTTGTTGGTGCCCGAGCGGCTCTCCTCCTTGGGGATGACGGGTGGTGGCTTCCACGTGGGCTTGGGGATAACGTCGGTGACCTTCTCCTCGTCCTCCTCGCCCTCCTCCTCAGCGTGTGTGTCCAGACCCTCGCCGCCCTCCATCATCTCCTCCACCTCCTCCTCCTCCCCTTCCTCCTCGCCCTCCCGGAACTCCACCTCAGCCACCAGGTAGCTGCGGCTCAGCCCCAGGATCTTGCCCCAGAAGCGGCAGGTGTGGATGGGCTGTTGCTCCACCAGCTGCTTCAGGGCCATGAAGATGCGGAAACTCTCGTCTGAGCTCAGGCCCACACCAGCCTGTTCGAAGTAGAAGGCCGTCTCCATGATGTTGGGTACTGCTGTCTCAGCCTGCAGAGGGTGGGGTGGAGGGCAGAGGGAAGAAGGCTGAAGCCCTGCTCCCAAGCCTGACTCTTCTAAAATCCAGAGAAGTGAACTACTCTGTAACCCAGCTGCTCATGAGACCACTGCTGGTCAGTGAGATGTAGGGGCAAGTCCTTGGGGAGGATGTCCCTTATAGGAAAAGAAAAGGCAAAACAACAACAACAACAACAACAACAAACCACTAGGAGAAAATCCGTTGCTCCTTCATCCTTCCCTCTTCTTTCTGCCTGGAATGGGTTGTGAGATCTGGAGGCACAGCAGCTATTTTGGGACCATGAGGCAATGCACGGGAGACAAAGTCCCATACCCTAATGATGGTAGAGCTAAAAGATAGAAACTGCCTGTCCCCAGTGGCATCACTGAGCTGCCTTGCCTCCCCAGCCTTCTTGTTCTATGGGATAAAGAGGCCACTTTTAGTCATGGTTTCTGTTGCTTGCAGCCAAATGCACCCCTAACAGATACCCCAAATCATATAGCAAATTAAGGGAAGAGGCTGGTCTTTAAAAAAAAATAAAGGTATTATTTATTTATTTTGAGAGAGAGAGAGAACAAGCGGCGGGAGGGGCAGAGGGAGAGGGAGAGAGAAATGCAAGCAGATTTCACGCTGAGCGCACCCCAAGTTAGTCTGGAATTATAAATGCAAGAATAATCGGCCTCTGTTATGAAACAGAGGCCCGGTGCCGGGGAGCCTTATGCTATCAAATAGCCAAACCTGCTATGCAGCAGCTGTACACAGCAGGCAGGAGAGTTCTAAAGCAGAAAGCCAGCCACAGAGCGAACGTGAAGAATAGAGAACCCACAAACAGGTCGAGTCCATATAGGTGTAAATAATTCATAGAGATGGCATTTCAAAGGAGGGCATAAGGAAAGCATGCATTTTTCCACAAATGCTGCTGGGGACTAGAAAAAGGGAAATGAGAGCCCCATCTCCTGTCAGAAAAATAAATACAAAAAGCTGAATCACGGATTTCTTTAAGTCTCCTCCTAGAGACATGCACAGGCCACAAATGCCCACAATTTTGCCCGTTTGCTGACCTCCCATTAAGAATCCCAGCCCCAGGGGCGCCTGGGTGGCTCAGTCCTTAAGCTCTGCCTTCCCATCGGGTCGTGGTCCCGGGGTCCTGGGATCGAGCCCCCACATCGGGCTCCCTACGGGGAGCCTGCTTCTCCCTCTCCCACTCCCCCTGCTTGTGTTCCCTCTCTCGCTGTGTCTCTCTCTGTCAAAAACAAAAACAAAAAAATCCCAGCTCCAAGTACTTAAGGGGGTGGGGCCTTCAGGGACCAGGCGTCTGAAGGGGCGGAGCCTCCCCACGGACTGATTTCCAAGGAGGCGGAGCCTCAAGTGCAGCGGTGTTCTAAGGGGCGGGGCCTCTAGGAGCAAAGCGTTCTAAGGAGGCGGGGCCTTCGGGGACTTGAGTTAGATGTGGGTAAGACCTGGGGGTAGGGAAGGAAGGGTGCAGTTCTAAGTGGGTGGGGCCTCCTGAGGAGAAACTGGATGTGAAATTCAAAACCCTATTCCCGGGTAGAACTTCGTGCCCAAGACTTGGGATTTCCACCTGCGCTTTGCTCACCCAAGGGTTCATTCCTTTGTCAGATTGTCCTTCTCCCATTCTCTCACCATCCCACCCCACTATCGCCAGAATCCTGGAGTCTCAGAAGCATAGATAGAAGTGAGCACAGAGCAACAGCGTCTGCAGATAGGTCAAAGGTTGTATATAGCACGGGCTTTGGAGATCATGGCCCTACTTTCTTAGTCCAGTCCCTGGTACTTCCCACCTTCCTGCCCTCTGAGCCTGCGTCTTTCCTCTATAAATAGGAATAAGTAGCACTCGACTTGCAGGGTTATTTTAGGGATGAAACGAGAGCTCTCCAAGCTCTTAGCAGGGGCCTAGGAGGTGTCAGAATGATCATAAAGAGTCCTCAACAAATGTTTCTTGAACGAGTGAAAGAACACTTTACCTGAATTTTCCGCCGTCGTCCAATTCTGGAAACAATCGTGGAATTAAATATTCTAAGGATAGTGAAATGTTAAGGGGCCAAGAGTGAAAGAGTTCTTAGAGGGTCTCAACTTAATAAAAGGGGAGACTGAGTCCGGGAATTAGTGGGCACTTCAGCGTGGAGAGACTCCAGGAGGCAATGGGCTTCACAGAGAACGTCTGCAAAGCAGAATTATTTTCGGGAGGAAGGAGTCAAGGATGGTAAGAGGGACCAGTCTCCACCTCCACAGGAGTTCTGCTTTCTTAAAAGGCAGAGCCCACTAGCCCTTCTTCTGCTTCAAACACTTCAGGGCGTTCCAGACGCCTCAGGAGAAAGCCCAAGCCCCTTGGCGGGCATTCAAAGCCCTCTGTGACCTGGTCCTGGCCCCCTCGGCCCGGTGCGCACACGAAACTGAAATCGTTTGTGTTTCTGGGTCACACCGTGCGTTCCCTCACTTCGGGACAGAAGCACAGGCGGTGCCGAAGCCCCGGCCATTGCCGGCCCCGCCTCGCGCCCCTCCCACCGGCTCACTCACCACCTCCTCCTCCATCTCCTGCTCGCCCTCGCCTGCGGCGCCGCTCCGAAGGAATAGCGCCTTCTGCCTGTCCGCCGTCTCGTAGTTGGGCTCCATCTCAGGGTCGTCCCGCATGGTGTCCAGCCTGGGGTGGAACCACTCCCATTGTGTGGTGCGGTTCAGCGACTCCAGGATGGACAAAGGGTCCTCGGGCCGCTGGTTCAGGATCTTGGTCAGCAGGTTCACCAGGTGCTCATACCTGCCTCCCGCGGGAGGGAGTGGGAGGTGGGAGACATCACTCGCTCAGCTCAGTGAGCTCACTGTTGTGTGCCCGGCCCTGTATCTGGCGCTGGGGACCCCGTAGGGAAGAGAAAATGTCCCTGCCCTGGTGGAGCGCACATTCTGATGATGGAGACAGACATCAACCAAATAGGCAAAAATATATAGTGTCTTTCTATGAACACAAAGCAGGGAATGGGGACTGGGAATGCCAGGGACAGGAGATGGCTTCTGATTTTAAATAGGGAGGCCAGGGAAGGTCACACCAAAGGGCACATTTAAGCTGAGATCTGAATGACGTGAGGCAAACCATACAGATATTGGGGGTGTTTCAGTCAGAGGGAACAACTGGTGGGTAGGCTCTGAGACATTTCATGAGTCTAACAGAATGTTAACAAAGCTCAAGGAAACTAGGAGACAGGAACATTCCATGCCAATCTTAGAAATAGATTAGCAGGATTAGATTAGAGGATGCCTGCTTAGAAATATAGATGCTGCAGGGGCGCCTGGATGGCTCAGCCAGTTAAGCATCTGCCTTCAGCCTAGGTCATGATCCCAGGGTCTTGGGTTCAAGCCCCATGTCAGGCTCCCTGCTGAACAGGGAGCCTGCTTCTCCCTCTCCCTCTGCTGCTCCCCCTGCTTGTGCTCTCTCTGGCTCTCCCTCAAATAAACAAATAAAAATCTTAAAAATATATATAGATGCTGAAATTCTAAGCTAAATATTAGCAAATGGCACCCAGCAAAAAGTTACTCTCAAAAAGATGACACACCATGATTAAACTGGGCTAATAACAGGACTGGGCTTGATATTAGGAAAATAGAAAAAATATAACTCATGTTAATATGTTAAAAAATATATATGTAAGTTGGGGCCCAGGGTGGCTCAGTCAGTTAAGTGTCTGACTCATGATTTCAGCCCAGGTCATGATCTCAAGGGTCATGAGATCGAGCCCCGCATCAGGATCCCCACTCAGCGGGGAGTCTGGGATTCTCTCCCTTAACCCCCCCCCCACTTGTGCATGCTCTCTAAAATAAATAAATCTTAAATAAATATATATATGTATATATACATATATATGTAAGATAATCTCAACCAGTGCAGAGAAATTTTTGATAACATTCAACAGTCATTTATGACTTAAACAAAAAAAAAAAAACAACCCCAGCAAACTAGGAATAGAAGGTAAATTTTTATAATCATATAAAGGGGATCCATAAGTAACCTACAGCACACATGATGGTGAAAGACTGAAAATTTTTCCCTATGAGACTGGTAACGAGGATGCCTGCTTTCACAGCTTGTATTTAACACTGCACTGGAGGTCCCAGCCAATGCAATCTGACATGAAAAAGAAAGGAAAGGTAAAAAGGATTGGAAAGGAAGGAGGGAAACTGCCATGGTGTGCAGGTGATGTGATTGGGAATGATGTGCAGAGGCCTTGAACTGAGGGTGCGCCTGGCATGTTGGAGGAACACCGAAGAAGTCAGAGTGGCTGGGGTGGAAGAGGGGAGAGGGGTTGTGGGGAGAGAGGAGGCAGAGTGATGACAGTATTGTAATGGCTTCTTTGCAACTAAGCCTGGGACTATGCTGGGCACTTGGGAGCAGTGCTGGATTCTCAACCACAATCACACATCTGAGGAACAATGATGATCCCTACTCTCCAGATGAGGAAACGGAGGCTTAGAAGAGTTGAGGGCATGAGGTCACACAGTGGTTGCACAGCCAGGATTTGAAACCAGATTGGTCTAATTTCAAAGCCATTTGGTGGCAGTCTGGGGTGTGCTGGAGAGCCATCACTGAATTGGGAAGGGTAAGGAGAGTTCAGACTTTGGTCTCGGTTTTTCAATAGCCTTGAAGTTCCTGAGGGTGGGAAGAGCTAGAGGTGAATTTTGACTAGACTCTAGGATCCTGGATCAGGAGCTGACTAGAGATGAAGTTTGGAGAGCCAGTAGGGGCTGAACTGCTGTTGTGAGAAGCATGAACTGACTCCTGAGGGCACTGGGGAGCCATGGCAAGCTCTGCACATAGGAGGGATAGGGTTAGTTTCGTACTTTAACAAGATCTGTTACTTCTCCAGCCTTGTCTCCTCCTGCTCCCCCTTTCTCCCTTGGTTCCAGTCATATCAGCCTCCTTGCTGTTCCTCAGACACAGCAAGCCTTAAAGCCTTTAAACGTGCTGTGTCCTATACCTGAACCACTGTTCCTCCAGTTACCTCCAAGGTGCTCTCCCTCATCTCCTTCAGGTCCCTGATCAAATGTTACCTCCTCTGAGGCTTTCCTTGACCTCATGCTATTTAACATGTACTCCCTAACCCCACTTACCCTGCTTTACTTTCCACTTTAGCTCTTATCATCACCTATCACTTGTTATCTTGTCCATTCTCCCAATTAGAATGTAAATTTCACTAAGATGTAATGGAGACTGAGAAGTGTATTGACTACAGCTAACCAGCCTTGGCAAGTGCCTTCCCCAGGCAGAAAAGTTTAGTGGAGAATGGGGCCTCAGGAGCCAAATCACACGTATCTGCCACATCCTAGCTGTTATCATCTTGGATACGGGACCTAATTTCTCTGTCTCAGTTTCATCCTCTGTAAAACAGGGACAGTAGGTGTGCTAATCTCAGCTGTGAGAACTAGATGTTAACGTGTGAATGGTGGCATGACGTTTGGAAACTAAATATTAGCTATTATTAGTTTCATCCCCTGACTCCTAGTCTGAGTCAGATGCCCCTGGAGCAGGCACTGATTATCCACGAGGGATGATCCCGTCTGACAGAAGAGACCCCAGAGCCTGAGGCAGAGTCTTGGCTGGATGGGGCCTTTCCCTGCCTGGGTCCCATCCCCGCCCCCCCCCACTCATGAGCCCCATCTCACAGGCTGAGGCTGCAACTGACGCTGGTCTGCAGCAGGTAGGCCTTGGCATTCTGTACGGCCAGCTCCCGAGGCTCTGGCTCAGGCACCTCCATACTGAAGGGCATGAAGCCCAGCTCGGAGGGCGAGTACTGGAGGGCGGGGTCATCCCTCATGTAGGGCCCATGCAGGGCACCCTGGTTGAACTGTAGGTCTTCTCCCTGGTACATGTTGAACTGGCCCAAGAAGTTGGGCTGGGTCTCCAGGTAGGCAGAGTCCAGTTGCTGGAAGAGGCTGCCTTGGCCCTGCTGTAGTTGCTGCAGCATTAGACTGGCGTTTCGGGCGGCCTGGATCCCGCCTTCTTCCAGATAAGGTTGGGGCTGAAAGCCCATATTCAGGGACGTGTACTCTACACCACCCAACTGGGCTTCCTCAGCCTGGAACATCTCCTGTTGGGTCAGGGGGGGCCCTGATGACCAGTCCTGGAGGTTGGTCTGGCTCGCCAGGATCCCTTGACCGCTCTGCAGGACCCGGCCGTCAAAGGCTATCGGCGGCACCTCCTCGGAGATGGTGGGCGGGGGCTGACTGAGTTCCCGACTGCGCCGCTGGGAGACCTGGGAACTCCTCCGACTTGAGGGCTGCTGGGGACGGGGCTCAGGGTCGGGCGGTGGGTCCCCCATAGTTCAAAGGAGGTCGCAGACTTCCAGGAGGAAGGCTTGCAGACAGGCAGGCCAGACCTGTCGCCCGCCTGCCAGCACACGCCCTGTAGCCTCTACGCCAGCCGCGCCCGTTTCTAAGGAGGGAGGGGGCGGGCCGTTACCAGGGGAGGGCGCGCGCGGACGCCGGGGCCGAGGAGCTGGTCTCTGCGCAGGCGCGGCCCCACGACCGAGGGCCTGCCAGTCTTCCAGCCAGCACCTGGGGGCGTTCACTCCACACCGTGCAGTCCCACAGCTGACACGCAGGGAGAGACGAGAGACTGCATCCACGCCCCAGACCCGCGATCTTTTTAATTTTAAAGGCAAAGCCCCGCCGGCTAGGCCCCGCCCCGCCCTTCCCGAGCTCCCTGCCCCACTCCCCTTCCCCACCAAGCCCCGTCAGCTGTTCCCCTTGCTCTCGGGTTCCCCGGATTCCTCAGCGGCCGGGCTGGGGGTCTTCATGGTGTCTTCTCCGGCAGGGGTGAGGGTCTGGGGACTGCGCTCCTCCTTTGAGGTCAACCCGCCCGCTGCCTCCTGGTGACAGGAGAAGGGGGAGCGGGTCAAGGATAGCTTAGCGTGGCCCTAACTCCACACTTCCTTCGGGCTGTACCCTCCCCGCCTCCGCCCGACCCTGGGCACTTGGCATATACCCTTCACCCGGGGGCCCTAATTGTTTTCTTCCTTTGCTGCTTGGAGGTTGTCATCCCTACCTTAGGTAGGGGCCCCTCAAGACTAGAGTCCAGGAGTGCGGCCTCGGTCAGCCCCGAGTCGTCATCCATGCTGATGAAGATGGCCGGGGTCTCACACTCAGGCCCCTCCTCCCGGAAATCTATGGTTTCTTCGGGCTGGGGAGGGCCTGGCCGGGTGGAGGAAGAGGACGACGACGAGGGGGCTCCCACTCCTCCTGGCTTCAGCTTCTGTTCCTCCTCTAGCTGACGCTTTAAGGCTTTCTCCTGGGCCAGCCGCAGGCCGATGAGGTCCTGAGGGGGCCGGGGGGCTGGGGCTGGGGCCGGGGCCAGGGCCAAGGGCTCCAGGTCGTCCTGGGGGTGGGGAAAGGCACACAGAAACTCAGAGCGGGGGTATGGGGGCCAGGTCATAGGCTGCTGTCAGAGGATGGTGACAAAGAGCCAGAAAGCACCCTGAGGGAGACAGCAGGGTGGGCATAGGGAGTACATAAGGGGCAACTGTTCCCCCACCTCCCATCCCTTTCAGCAGGAGCCTCCACCAGACAGGTGGCTGAGGTGGGGAGGAGGACAGGGTGGGCCTTGCTGGCTTGGGGGTTGGGGAGCTGTGGGCCCTCACCTCTTCCAGGGGCCCGGCAGGTACTTCCTTGGCCTCTGGCTCCTGCTTGCCACTGGCCTCCAGGATGGTCATGATGGAGTTGGGGATGTGTGCTTGCTAGGGGAAGAGCAGATTGGGGGCTCTATGGAGTGCCCAGACCCGAGACCCCTAGTGGACGCCTCTGAGCTTCTGCAGCAGTGCAGGGCTCCCCTCTGCCCACCCCCATCCAGTCCTCCAGGGCTGAACCCATGGGGCCACCCATCCCACACCCTGGGGTACCTGGTGGGGGGTGAAGGATCGGACGTGGGCCAGCAGGGGCTCCCGGAGCTCTGGGCACTTGTCAAAGACGGCACCCAGCTGCTGGGGTGGCAACTGCAGGATGACCTGGAAACTCTGGGGCTTGGTGCGTTGACAGCACTTGATGAAGCCCTCCCACACCTTGGGATACTTCCACACCTGGACGGGGCAGGGAGGGAGTGGTCCTGAGGGGGTGCACAGGAAGCCACCCCAGAAACTGAAAGAAATTCAAACCTTACCAAGATGGGGCCCAAATCCCTACCATCCAACAGAGTCCTCTGGGCTACCCACAGCCCTGACCTCCAGCCCTCCAGAGGACTTTCTAACGTTCTCTTCCTGATCCCAAGCAGCTGAGGCATGAGGGCAGCCCAGGGAAAGGGGAGAAGAAAACGGAACACCCTTTCATGTGAGCAGTCTCAACTCACTCTCGCAGCAGCCTCAAGGGGTGACTCAGCCCTGCTAAACAGACGAGACCTGGGAAGGTGCGGGGGCTCATCCACGGTCAGGCGGGTACCATGGGGCAGAACTGAGGTTTGAACCCAGGGCTGTCTGAATCTGCACCGCACCTCTAAGCCGGATGTTGCAAAGTGGCAACCTGTGGGCTGAATCTAGTCTGAGCGCTTGAGAATTTTTTTTTAATTTCATCACGATATTTTTAGAAACCCAGATTTCTAGCTTCTCTTGAGAAATGGGCCCATCTTTCAGCTCTAGTATGCATCCTGGCTGGGTGCAGAGGTGGTGGCAAGGGGCACTAGGCCTCTCCTGGGACGCCCACCCGGTGAAGCCTACCACCACCTGTTCCTGCCCTCACGCATCACACTGCCATCTGGAGCCCTGGAGCCGAGTTAGTGACCCCTGTTGGGCTGTACTGTCTTGGCCCAGGGCAGGGCAAAGGGGCTGGCCGGTCTCCTAGAGTGTGCTCTCCTCATCCTGGCTCCCTCTGCAGGGTGGGAGGCAAGCAGGCTGGAAAAGCCCGGGATCCTGCCTCCCATCTATCTTCAGTGTGTCCTGCCGCAGCCCACTGCCTGCAGGACTGGGGCGGCCGGGGGCGGGTTACCTGCTTCATGATGAGGCGGGACAGGATGTTCATGACGAAACCCCCCAAGCGGGGGTACATGGTCAGAGACTGGATGACGGTCCTCATGAGCAGCATGGGCAGGGGGCTCTGCTCCATCAGCTGCTGCATCACCACGGCCAGCACCTCCGATGTGTACACGTTCCGCTCCGCAAAGCACAGGTTGGTGGCTGCGAGGAGGCGGAGAGTGGGCCTGTCCTCTTTGCCCAGCTCCCCTGGGAAGGTGGGAGCCCCACCACCCTTAGAGAGCCTCAGCCCCATTAATGTGCCCACATGAGTGGAGACCTAGCCCTCATTCCTGAAGCTCTGGACGAGAGAGACTTCCTCACCCAGCAGGTCCCTGAGGGGATACTGTGGCCTGGGGTGTTGGTCGAAGGGAAAAGACATGTTCAGTTGCTGGAAGCCCCACGCTGGGCAGAGTGGGCAGACCTTGGCCCTTTTTCTTTGGGGGCAACCCACGGAAAGGCCGAGGCAGGAGAGACAGGTTGCCAATGCCTGGGGGCCCATGCTGGCTTACCCTTCCCACCCCTACCAGAGAGGGAAGGCAATTTTGACTTCCGTAAGACCCCCTGTAGGAGACCAGAGATGCCCTCCACCAGCAGGCTGGTCAAGGGGCTGCCCACTCCCAATCCTGACCAGAGCATAAGGATTTGTGCTGGTGCTGGAGGGATACCAGACGTGGACGCACGTGGGAGGCACAGCACACAAAATAACAAGGGAGGAAGGAGCAAGAGGAGGAAGCCTGGGCAGATGAAGTGCTCCCCAGCTCAACACCCAGTGCCAGGAAGGGCCCAGGGAGGGCCAGCACAATAGGGGCATCCACGAAGGCAGGCAGGCCAGGGCAGGCCTTGGGGTCTGTTCCCTCAGGAATGGGTAGTGGTACCCCAAAATCAGTGGGATCGGCGGTGCTCCAATCCATTGTGTAATGGGGAGACCCCAGGTACTGCCTCTGAACCCCTTCTTCCCCAAACACCACTTGCCATGTGAGTCTGTCAACCAGGAAGTCTTTATTGAGCCAAAAGAGAGGCCCCCAATCCTTGAGAGGCTAATGGAGAACAGGTGTGGGTGCCTATAAGGAATGAGGGGGGCTCCTATAAGGAACAGGGGAAGGATGGAGGCATTGCAGGAACACAGGCAGGAAGGAGACTAGAGCGAGGTAGGGCAAGTATCTAGGCCAAAGGAGCAGAGGAGTGTAGAAGGTAAGGACAGTGTAGAAGCCAGAGTGAACCTACCAGAAACCAAGAAAGCTCCTCCTCCTCCTCCCTTCCAGTTAGTGGCTGGCTCCTGCCTGCTCTGCCTAAAAGGGTCCACAACCAACCCCCCTTTCCCCGCCCCACCCAAGTCTCCCCCTGGGCCTTCCACCCAGCCCTCTAATCCACCCTCCATAGCAGGCGAAGGAGGGGTCCTTTCGAAAGCTCAGCCTGACCCCATACACCTCCCAGGGGCCCTCAAGGTATCAAGTCCAATCTACTGTGGCCTAGGAGACCCTGTGTGGGTGGGGCCCAGGCATGGTATTCTTAATGCTTTTAATCTGACCTCTCCTGACCAGGCCCCTTCCCCTAAACCTCAAGATCTAGTCAGCCTCACCTCTGCAGTTCCAGAACCAGGCCATGCCAGCACATCTCTTGGCCTCTGCAAATACTCTTCCTTTCTCTGGGATCAGTGTCTCCCCTGCTACCTCACCCCTACTCATCTCTCTGTGGTTTCAGCTCAGATGTCCTCTTGGGGCTCCCCTGTCCCAGCTCTGCTCACTGTGGGCTCTTATCATCTGGGGATGGACCGTGAGCCCCAGAGGGCAGGACCAGGGCTATCTCCATCGCTGCTGGGTCCCCAGCACTGCCTGGCACAGGGCTGAGCAGAGGCGCTCACTGAGTTTTCTTTAATTGCTGCACCAGACCACTGGGGCAGGTCCCATTATAGAAAAGCTCACCAGAGAGAGGGTGGCTTTTAAAGGAGTGAATGCCATGAATGAATGCTTATACTATCAGGCATGGGGGATCCAACGGTGCAGAAAACGGGACTGGATTTTGGATCCAGAGCTTATAGTTGAATGGGGTTCCTAGTGCAACCAGGAAAACCACTGGGGCCCAAACAGAGAAACGTACTCTGGGAACTGGCTAGCTTGGGTGCTGGGGACAAACAGCAGGTAGGGAGAGCGGCTGGAAGGTTGCTAGGCGCTCAGCAGCATGGAGGCTGTATGTAGACCTGGGCTTGTAGAAAGAAACAGGTAGGCTTCTAAAGGCCAGGCCTTGATGACGTCTCCAGGCACCTGGCTGCTGGCCACCTGATGACCTGTGGCAAGGCTCTTTTTCTTCCTGGGACTTAATCTGGGTCTGTGGATGGACTTAGTGGGGTGGTGGGGTCTGTGAATCCCCTCAAATTGTGCGCAAGACTGTGTGAGCCTGTCATCCTCGGGAATGGGCCCATAGCTTCCCTGACATCATCAAAGGGGCTATAGCCTGTAAAAGGGCCACTTCTGGGGGCGCCTGGCTGGCTCAGTCGGAGGAGCATGTGACTCTTGATCTCGGGGTCATGAGTTCGAGCCCTATGCTAGATGTAGAGATTACTTAAATAAATAAACAAACAAATGTAAAAAAATAAAAAATAAAAAGGCCATTTCTGGATGCTCAGCTTCGAGACGCTTTTCACTTTACTGTTCTTTCACTAGAGGCCTTAGTCCCTCCTCCGTTGTAGTGTGAGTTTTAGACTTCCACAAGCTCCTCTCTCGACCTAAAAGATTCTGAGAGAACTTGCTGAGGAAGGCCAGGAAGTTAGTCGTCACGGGAGGAGCTATTTTAGGCTAGACAAGCAGCTAAGTGGTGGTGGTTGGGGGGACCCCCTCCCCGCTCTTAAAGAAGAGGACGAATCAAAGGACAGGGGTCTTCTGAGTAGAGGGGCAACAGTGAGGGCTCCCACCTTGGTGGGAAAGCACGACTTCTGGACCAGAAACCTCCCTCGGGGAGGAGTGGGGGGCAGTGCTGAGGAGAGTTGATGGAGAGAAGTCCTCCTATGGGAGGTGGTGGCCCTGGGACCCAGGGTGCCATGGGCGGGCAGAACTGGCAGAGCTGGATTTCAACTGGGGTCTAGTGGGCTTCAGATTCTGGGTGGTTCCACTACACCACTCAGCTTGTGTGCGGCCCTGAGCAAGTTCCTCAACCTCTCTGGAACCTCCATTTCCTTGTCTGTAAGATGGAAGTCTGCATACTCACCAGGTAACGGGTGGTGTGTGTCGGCAAGCAGGCCTGTAAGGCACTCAGGAGAGCGTGGCTCAGTGTAAGTGCTCGGTAAGTGGTGGCGGCAGCTATTAGGAAACTGCTGGTTGAGGGGAGCTGGCCAGTTTGTCCCCCACCCCCTACCCTGGAGGCACCTTCTCCTGCCTCAACTGGAGCCCGGACCAGACTTGGCATCTACTCCTGGTCCGACAACGGCCCTGGCGTGCTCCATCTGCTCTGCTGCCCCTCTGCCCCCTGCTGGGCCGAGGGCTCTGCTTCCTTCATTCCTCGAGCCAGGGCTGGGGAGGGAGGGGCTCCCCACCTTTCTTGAGGACTACTCTGTGCCAGCGCATAGCAGATGCACCAGTCCCTTGGACGGAGGGAGGGAGGAAAGAGAGGAGGGAGGGAGGGCAAAGGAATGAGGGCAGGTGTCCAGAGCGGAGATGGGGTTGCAGGTGGCACATCTCCAACTCGGCAGATTCCAGCAGGGACATGTGGGTGCCTGAGGTTCTTCCCCGGGTCCGCAGCAGCCAGGCCACTTGGGGCGGGGGGGGGAGCGCCTCACCTTTGATGATGGACTTCATGTCACACTTCACCGAGTCGATGTTGTGCAGTGCGATCAGAAGCTCTCCAGGGTTCAGCGGGGACAAGGCTGAGTTCCCTTCACCTGCAGGGAGGGAGTGGGAAGGGGAAGGAGACAATACGGCGTCTAAGTGAAGAGATATGTCTGGGTCCTGCAGATTAGGGGCGTGGTGACTGAAGATGAGGTGCCCTCTGCTTCAATGGGACTAGGAGGACAGAGGGCTAGAGCAGGGGAAGAAAAAGAGGGGACTGAATGCTACCCCCTCTGGGAAGCCTTCACCTTGCTCTCCTCCTCCCCCACACTGCGTTCCTACCCTTCTAGGGCAACATCGGATGTGGTGCAGCAGTTCCTCGCCCTCCTCCCTGGGCTGTGCCCCCAGAAGGCCGGACCCCCCCCGCCCCCACAGCACAGACATGGGCATTTGCTGGACAGGACAGGCTGGGCCGGGCAACGTGCTCGACGACAGTGCTTAGAGGCAATTCTAGGGGAGATGGCGCTCTGCTGGTGCGGTTTGGAGGGTCCCAAACACTCTTGTGTGGGGGTTTTAAATCACGTGTTATAGGTGCAACAGCCAGCCTCACTCCCCCCCTAGCACCAGCCCCTGGGGTGAGGGGGAGGAGCCCATCCTAGGTCACTGGGTCATTTTTCTATGTTGTAAGTTCTACTTTGCTTCTTTCAACCATGGAAGATGCCACCTACCGTGCTGGGTGCCCAGCAGGCGGTTGAAGACCTCTTTCACCACAATGGGGTTGAGTTTGATGAGCTTTGGCAGGGCCTGGATCACTTCTTTCTGCAGGGGGAGGGCAGGGGAGGCCGGTCAGAGGGCACCCCTATCCCAAATGCTCACCCTGAGGAGGCGAGGAGAAGCTGCGGCCTTGCCACACCCTTGGATACTTCCCTCCTCGAGCTCCCTCTGGTCCCTCGGGGTTGAGCCTTCTCCCTGAGTCACTGGGCCTGACTCAGCCCCAGCCTCATCACTCCCCATCTGAGCCTTCCTGGTGCCACACGCCCCCTGATGGCCCCTGCAGGGGAAGGGTGTCATCATCATTCCCACTTTACACGGGAGAAGACAGGCTCACCAAGGCCCCACAGCCTGTTAGGAATAAGACCTGGGCAGGGGAAACACATTTAGGCCTTGGAACAGGCCTGTGTGTGTGGGTCACTGTGATCCTCACTTGACAGAGAAGAAAACCGAGGCGCAGAGAAGGGGGTGGCCTGCCTGAGGTCACAGAGGATGAAGCAGAGGTGAGACTGCTCCGTAGTCTGATGAGCCCTGGGATGGGCTCAAAAGCGTCTGACATGGGTACCTGGGCACCCATCCCTGCCCTGCCCGTCTTCATCAGTGGGGACACCCGGACATCCAGCTCTGTACCTTCTCCAGTCCATTGAGCACAGGGATGAGAAAGCGGACATCTGGCAATCGCTTGTGGTAGAGATCCCGGACCCGCTTCACCAGCTCTGGGGAGGGCGGGACTGCAGGCAGAAGAGTAAGCAGGGGGCACAGGTGGGGTGAGGGGGAGCACCGAGAGGAAGGAGAAATGGTGGTGGCTGTGTGTGAGGGAAGGGGAGGGCCAACTCCATCCCAGAGCAGGAATCTCTGGCCCCTGGTTTCTCAAATGCATTTAGCAATATACCCAGCAGCTCCGAGGGCCAGGTCTTGGAAAGGGCCCGTGAGGAAGTTCTGGGACATGGAGGAAAAAGCTGAAAGGTGGGGGTCCTGGGAGCACCTTTGTCCGTGAGGCTGTGCAGACATCGTGTGACCAGTGTCTCTGCCCCCTTGGGACAGTTTTCTACCAGCAGGAGCAGCTCCGGTGAGTTCATGCCCATTCCTCGGATCTAGAAGGAAAGAGAGGAATGGCAGGCTGGGGAAGGGGCTGGGTGATGTGCTGAGGACTAGGGGGCCCTAGGGGAGAACTCAGGGAGGCCCAGGTGTCAGAGGCAGGGTGGCTGGGGGGATGATGGGACTCTGGGGCAAGAATTGGAGACAGAAAGAGTAGATCTTAAAAGTTCTCATCACTAGAGAAAAAACAAATGACGTGAGGTGATGGACGTTAACTAATCTTCTGCAATATATATATATGTCCCCAAACATGTTTTACACCTCACGCAAACACAAGGCTGTGTGTCAATCATACCTCAGTGAACCTGGGGGAAAACAGAACTGGTGGCGGGGTTCAGGGACCTGGGGGAAACGTGGGGAAGGTGGGAAGAGGCAGGGCGGCAGCATCTGACCTTCCTCTACCCCACCTCACAGGGTATAGACTCGCTGTAGCTCCCAAGCCCTCACCAGCACTGGCTGCCTACTTAGCAGGAGGGGCCCTTTCTGTCACTTCTGACCTAACCCGACCTCTGATGCCCAACCTGCCCTCCAATTCCTCGGTGAAGACTTTTCAGGCTTCTAAAGGCATCAGTGACAGCCAGAGCCCCGCGTGGCGGCCTGCTCAGATCAGGGCTCGACCTGCGTCTGCAGCCTTCCCCACTCCGTGGGCAACAAGTGCAGGGAGCACCGGGCCAGGCTGTGAGGGCTCATGCCCTCCTCTGCCAACAAACGTTTATAATGGTCCGTGGAACTGGCAGTCTGTGCCCTCCAGGAGCTCACTGAAAACAGGGGGAAGACACCGCTGAATCCGGGTGGCGGGTATTTGGGGGTGAGCCTACCAGACTCTCTCCTTTTGTTTATGTTGGAAATTTTCCGTAATAAAAAAAGCAGGGACAGAGAAATATAAAAAAAGTGGTTTCCAATCCAGCTGCAGATTGGAAGGGCAGAGAGTAGGAATTTCAGGTGCCAGTTGCTTTTCATGTGGGTGACCTTGGGGCTCCGGAGAGAGCGGCAGGCGGGACTTGTGTAATGACAACTAAAGACTCCCACTGGCCAGGCAAGGGAAGGCCAGCTCCTAGATGGTGAGAGCGACACAGACGTTTACATGTAGGAGCTCATGGAGCTCCTGCAGCAAGCTTGGGGGACAGAATCAGCCTCCCCATTTTTACTGAAGAGGGGCCAGTTTGCACAGCGAGAAAGTGAGAGGCAGAATGTGGACCCGGGTCTGCCCAACTCCAGCCTAGTAATTGCAGGGCGACCCTGCTGTCCTTTCATTGGCAGATGCGGCAGGTGGACCACCCACAAGCCCCAGCGCCACGGGACCCAGGGTGGCACCCATTGGTGCTGAGCCCATGCCAAGGTGGAGATACTAGGGGAAGGGCTAGAGTTGGGGCCTTAGCCCTGCCCACAGATGGGCAGAGCCTGGTGGGCTCAGGGGCCTCACCGGCTGTTCGATGACCCTCAGCACCGTCCGCTTGATGTCGGCGATGGCCTCCGTGTACACGGCTGCCAGTTCGTGGATGAGCTTGTGGTTCTGAGGCAGGAGAGCCAGGTAGAGGTACAGACACTGCTTTACGGTCTCCTCGGTCCAGGGCGCCGCCACCTCTGATAGGGCAGGGAGCGGGGATCAGGGACCACTCTCCTCCCGACCGTCTCCCACCCTCAGTGTCTGTCCCTTCTTTGGGAGGCAGCACAGAAGGGAGACAGGCCCAGGAAGCAAACTGTTCCAGGGCAGGAAGCCAAGCATCAGGGAAATGGGGTGGGACCAGGACTGCTCCCCTTTTAGAAGCCTCTGCACTGAAGTCCCACCTCGTCTCTGCCCATCAATCCACAGGGCAGCCAGATGGATCTTTCCGAAGGCAAGTTCTGACCCTGTCCTTCTCCTGCTCCGTGCTCCCACAATTACCCTATGCTCACGATAAATCCCCTCTAGGAGCGCACCCCCCTCCCCCGGGGACTCCCTGCTCTGGCCACATCCTCCTTCTGACAGCACCCCCTGAGCCCGCACAGGTCCCTTCGCACATGTCACTCCTTTGCCTGCAATGCTCTTGCCTAACTCCCCTCTCTGTATCTCCTCATCCTCTGGGTCTCACGCAACCAGTGTCTCTCCTGGGAGGTCTTCCGGGCACCCGGGCTGTGCCAGGGCTCCTGTTCTCCCAGAAGGCCATGTGCTTTCCGTCACAGCCTGAACCTTGCAGGTTTCTTTAATTTTAATTTTTTTTTAAAGGAAGCTCCATGCCCAACATGGGGCTTAAGCTCACGACCCCCAGATCAAGAGCTGCATGTTCCACTGACTGAGCCAGCCAGGCACCCCTGAACCTTCCAGGTTAATGGTCCGTTCCCTGGGGCTTGGGTCTCCCCATCTGTAATTCTGAGGGACCTGGGGCTTTGATGAAGGAATGGGCCTATGCCTGGCCCCTCCTGGAACCCCATCGCTGGCTAGCTCTCCTTGTCCTCTGGCTCTCAGCCCTCCATCTCCAGGATGCTCTCCCTGACCCCTAGGGCTGAGGTGAGAGGCCCCTCTGGACTCTCGCAGTCCCTAGGCCTGCTTGGTCTGGTCATCATTGCCTGGCTGTCTTCCCTAGTAGGCTGAGCAGGGCTCAGCTTCAATCCAGCTCCATTCCCCCAGGGCCTGGCCCAGAGCCTGGGATCCAGCAGGTGCTCAATATGCATCTGATGAAGCTGCACCAAACCTGTATCCTTGTCGGCTCCAAACAGCACGGATGGCGGGTTGGGGTGGACCAGGAGTTGCAGGTAGTTGAGGGCAAATTTCTCCACATACTCTCGCAGCTGCTCCTTCTCATACATGCGCTTGATGAACAGTAGGGCCTGGGAACGCACCTGAAGAGAGAGTGCGGGCAAGATGGTGGACGGGGAGACCGCTGTTCTGAGCTTGGCAGGACCAGTGGGAAAACAAGCCCAAGACTGAGAAAGGCCTGGTCTACCTGAGTCATCTGTGCCCAACGCTGATCGCTGGCTTGGGGGAGTGGTTTCCTGGCCCAAGTCAGGGCCTGCATCACCTCTCCATCTACCTGCTCAGCCCCATCCCTTACTGTCTCTTGCCTTGCTTGCTACGTTCCAACCAGAATGAACTTTCCTTAGTTCCTCAAAAGTGACAGCATTCTCCTTGGCTTTGAGACTTGGCACAAAAGGTTCCCACTGCCTAGAATGCCCATCACTGGCTCTATCCCATTTTACTCAGACATCACCGGCTGGGAGCCCTGAGAACAGGGACTGTTCCTGGGCACTGCTTTGGCCCCAACAGCACCAAAGGCCCAAGCCAGAGCCAGAGTCCGCAGTGAGGGCCTGCTGAATGAATGGACACATGACACCAGGAGAGGAGGTGGCAAAACAGTTGGGCAGGGGTGGGTCCAGGGCCCTTGCAATCACACATGCACACACCTTGCTCCCTCTGTTCGGTCACACCCATCTACTCCTATTTCAGGTCTTGGCTCACCTGCACTCTCCTCCAGAAGCCTTCCTTAAGCCCCGCCCATCCCCCGGGGGGGGCCATGTAGGTCAGGCCCCTCCCCAGGGCCCCCACACTAAGTGCGGCACTCTGGTGCTGCCCCACTCCCTGGGCGGGCTGTGTCCCCACTGCTCGCTGACAGGCCACACGGCTCCTCTCCTGTTAGCTCCCCCGCCAGGCCCCAGCACAGCACCAGGCCCTACGGGGCTCCCCAACATGGGTGGAGTAGGAGAGAGAAGGGGACTGCCCTTCCTGGGAGGATGAGTGTATCCATGTGTATATTCTAGGCAGCTTCATGCCACCACAGATGAAAAGGCATCCACCACCAAAACACTACAGCAGGAAGGGCATTAGGCCCAGAGAGGACATTCAGGGGCATGTGGAAGAGGCTGGGCTAGGCGCTCGGCACAGAGGAAGGGCGGTCGGCCCAGTGCAGGGTGGCAAGGGGTCACCTTGTCCTTCTCGTGGGAGCTGAGGTCTAGCAGAACATGCAGATACTGGAACTGGCGGGACGGGCGCTTGAAGATCAGGTCTCGAAGAGTGGACATGCCCAGGTAAGTGCGACTCTGTGGCAGAAGGGAGGGACACCAGAGCTCAGCCCACCTGCAGTGTGCCCCTGGGATGTCTTCCTTGCCTCCCTCAGATCCGGTCCTGGACAAAAGGACTGGGTCCCTCACAGAGTCCCCTGCCACCAGGTCTAGGCTGTGTGCCCCTCAGACCCCCGACACAGGCCCCTGTCTCCCTGCAGGGCTCCTGCATGCATCACGGTGCTAGGGACAGAGAGAGATGGGCTGACTGTCCTTACCTCATCCTCGCAGTACTTGCGAATCACCTCCAGGGCACTCTCGGTGATCAGTGGCGCCTCCAGCACAACCTTAGTGAAGATCCTGCCAGAGACGAAGGGGGAGGGAATGGCTATGGCGGAGAAGCTTCCCAGTCCTGCTGGAGCTTGGAGCCGGCAGGGCTGCCCCTCTCATATAGCCTGCTCAACTCCCAGGGAACAGAGCTTTGGAGGTAGATGGAGCCGGGTTCAAACGCTGACAGCTGGGTGACTTAGGCAGAGACTCTACCTCTCTGAAGCTCGGTTCTCCCCTTCGTCAAAGGGGATTCCTAACCTTACTCATTTACTACAGTAATGGAAGGGAATGATGGGGAGTGGGGAACGGTACTGCTTTTCAGATGTGGTGGCCAAAAATGGCTGCTCTGAGGTAACACTGAGTTGACACTGGGGGTTGAGAAAGAGCCAGCCATGCGAAGAGTTGGGGGAAGAGCATTCCAGGTACAGAAATAGGAACTGCCAAGTTGGCATGTTCAAGGGTCAGAAGACAGAAGGCCAATGTGGCTAAAGTCTGGGGACAGAGGAGTAGGGGGGCAGAATAAGAAGGTAAAGAGGTTGGTAGGAATTGGGTTACGCAGGTCTCATAGGGCACAGAAGGAAGGCTGCATTTTATCCCAAGAGCGATGGAGAACCATGGAAGGTTTTTAGTGGGTAACAACAAGACCGTATTTACATTCTAAAATGTCGCCCAGGCTGCTGTGTGGAGAATGGATCAGTAGGAGGTCGAGAACAAGGAGGAAGCTACAGGAGCAATTCAGGTGAGAGATGAGGCTGGAGAGAAGTCAACCTCGGAAACAAGCCTATGAGGCTAGGCACTGTAACCTACAAGAACGGAGGCTCAGAGGGCACGCAGCAGAGTGGAGAATAAGCCCAGGGAGTGGGCCCCAGAGCACACCCGGAACCTGCCTTGCACGTGCCTCCAGAGAGCAGGGAGAGCAGGGAGTCTCGGGGGATGGGAATGAGGCCTTCGGTGGTGAGGAGGGAGGTGATGAGAAACCACAAAAGAAAGGCAGGACACAGGAGAGTGCAGGGCGGTCCCCCTCACCCATCCTTCTGGTCTGGCTTCTCCTGCAGGCCGGAGAGCAGGCGGATGAGGCAGTCCTCGTACTTGTCCAGGGTGCCCGAGGCACCGGCCGCCAGGTAGGCGTTGTACTCCTGGTACAGCCAGGCGAAGGCCAAGTCCAGGCGGGCCCGCACATCCTCCAGGATGAAGGAAAGGACCTCCGCCTTCAGGCCCGAGTCAAACTGCGTCACCAGGCTGGCCAGGATCTTTATGCGCACCTGACAGGAGAGTGGGTGTACATATGGGTATGGGAATGGGAGGCAATCCCAGGCACCTCGTGATCATGCCTTACAAGTCTTCCTGCCCAGGTTCAGGGACCCCCACTAAAGACCTGGTGTTAAGTGAGGAAGGCAAGCTGAGGAAGTTTATACCCCACAGGAATCATTTGTGTGGGAGGGAAAAAAAAGCAGGGGGGGAGTCAATCATCATAGAACAAAACTGAATTTGTAAAAGTAGTATCTACATACTTAAGTACACAGAGAAAGATCCTGAAGGCTTCCTCTAATTTGTACATTGGTCATCTTGGAGGAGGGGGATGGGATGTGGGTGGGGGCCAAGGAAGACTTATGGTACCTCTATGGCCTAGAAATATCTTTTTAACAGAAAGAGTTAAAGTTTTATATACTTCTTGGTTAATTAAAATTAAACTTCAAAAAAAATGGGGAAAAAGTCGCTTGGCTGAGGTTACGATGCCAGTGCATGGCAGAATCGGGATTTAGACCTGGCCATCTAAATCTCAACAATAATAAGAAAAGCACTATTAAGCACCAGGAAGAAAGAACCCAGCAGCAGCCCTCACTTGCAGGGCTTTCCCGGGCAGCCAGCTCTGTGCTGAGTGAGAGCCGTGCGTGTCCATGCATTTCCTCCTCATCACCATGTGGAGCTGCTGCTGCCACCTCCGTTTCAAGGAGGACAGAAGAGAGGCGTGGAGGGCTGGTGTGCAGCCCAGCTGGGACCCGGAGCCAGGGAGCTTTGAGCCCGGGGCCGTATCTTTCCTGGGCTGTGAGGCAGGCTCGTGGGGAGAGGGTCTGGAAGCATGGGCCAGGGAGACAGGGGCACACCTGGGCTGCCCCGCTGCAGGCCACAGCCTTCTCCGCCCGAAGGATCCGCTTCACGGCGCCCAGCTTCATAGCCTCCACCTGGGTGTCCGTCAGGGGCTTCAGCACATCGCTCAGGCGGAAGATTTTCTTGCGCCCACCAGCGCCCGCTAGCCTATGTGAAAGAGTAGGGACAGGGACACGGTGACTCAAAACGTCCTTTCTGGAGCCCAGGTCCACCCCAGGCCATACACCGCCACCGCCACCATACTGCCTTTCTAACTCTCCTGTGACTCAGGCATGGCAAGGTGCAGGGTAATGAGAAAGAAGGTGCCATTTTGTTTTTGCAAAGCGTGTCTCAGGGAATGCTTCTCTGAGGAGGCTGTGTGGGAGTGCAGATCTGAATGAAGCAAGAGGACGAGACACACAGATATCTGGGAGATGAGCTTTCCAGGTAGAGAGAACAGAAAGTGCAAAGGCCTTCCAGTGGGGACCTGCCTGGCCGTTCAAGGAGAACCAAGGGGCCAGTGTGACTGGAGTGAGGGGAATGGAGAGCTTGGAGGGCAGATCAGGCACAGCCCAGGTCTTGGAGGGGGGCAGGGACTGGCTAGATTTTTTGGTCTGTAAGGGGGATAATAATGAAGAGGAGGATGATAACAACCAGTAGCACTTACGACATATTAGGAATCATGCTAAATACTTTATATCAAATTCACTTCCAACCTCAGGAGTTATCTAATTTAATGATCTGTCACTGTAAACTCATTTAACTCTCCCTTGATCCTTAGAGGGAGATACTATCATCCCAACTTTAGACGTAAGTAAGGATGGGGGCATTTTTATGTAAAAGAAAACAACAATTAAGGCTTGGTGGTTATGGCACTGACTCTGGAATCAGACAGATCCTCATCCAGCCCTAGCTGTTTATCTGTCTTTGTCGGTCTGTCTTTAACACACGCACACACATGTGCATGCACACACCAAAAACCAGGCCTTCAGTCCTTAACCTGCACCTACCCGGGGACTCACCGGGGCTGTGTGACAGGGATGATGGGCTCTGGCCTCCTCTTGGCCTGAGGCGCCTCCTCCTCCAGAGTAGACATGGAGCTCAGGGAGCCCACCACTGAGATGGCCTGGCCCTGGGCTGACAGGCGTCGCTTGATCAGGACACTCTCTGGCTTCACCACCTTCTCCTCCTTGGGCTCCTCCTTGCACTGTTTGGTCTGCTCCACACCTGAGGGGGAGGTAGCAAATAGGCTCCAGGAACGTCACACCCCCTTGCTCCCATCCTGTGTGCTGGGCTCTATTCTAAGCCTTGTACACACAAAGCTCATCTAAATCTGCAAAACTCCATTCTGAAACAGGCACACTTTTTATCGCCACTTTGCATATAACCAAGGCTCAAACTAGATAAGCCATTTCCTGCGGGTGGGGGCACCAAATGGCACAGCCACGTTGGAACACTGATGAGCAGCTTCTAATAGCACTGAAAATACCCTAACCTATGACCCAACAACTCCACTCATCGGTATATACCCAAGATAAACAAGGACATGTGTACACCGAAACACTTGTACACACCAACTACACTCAAAAAAACCAACCAAGCAAAAACAAAACCAAAACCAACAACCCTGCCCCCAAACCCAAGCAAACCCCAAAAAACACTTGTACAGCTTCATTCACAACAGTCAAAAACTGGACATAAGCCACAGGTCAATCAACAGAAGAGTGTATAAGCAAACAATGGCCTATTTGCATAAAGAAATACTACTGAGCAATACAAAGTAAACCACTGGGTCACACAACGTGAATGCATCTCAAAAATTTATGCTGAGTGGGCGCCTGGGTGGCTCAGTTGGTTAAGCGACTGCCTTCGGCTCAGGTCATGATCCCGGAGTGCCGGGATCGAGTCCCGCATCGGACTCCCTGCTCAGCGGGGGGTCTGCTTC